TGCACAGAAGAGTTGTGCTGCCAAACGTCAGTAATGAATTAGCAAGCTAACTGGGGCCCAAGGCAGAGTTGTGACTTTGTTTGTTGTATGTATATATGATTGCTTCTGACCTGAAGGAGAGGTTCACTCTCGAAAGCTTGTATTCAGTGAATTCAAGCATGGTACCGTGAGCGGGGTCATGACATGCTGAAGTACATAGTGCGCAGAAGTCCCCAACTGTCTACAGAGTCAATAGCTACAGACCTCCAAACTTGGTGTGGCCTTCACATTGGCACAACAACAGTGCGTAGAGAGCTTCATGTGAAGGGTTTCCATGGCCGAGCAGCTGCATCCAAGTCTTGCATCACTAAGTGCAATGCAAAGCGTTGGATGCAGTGGTGTAAAGCATGCCCCCACTGGAATCTAGAGAACAGTTTGGGGATGGCCCCTTCCTGTTCCAACATGACCATAGACACACCCCTAAACCTTGTAGACACCTTCCCAGAAGAGTTGAAGCTGTTATAGCAGCAAAGGGTGGGCCAACTCAATATTGAACCCTTAGGACTAAGACTTGGAAGCCCTTAAAGCATCCTTGTTGCTGAAAAGAAAATGCTCCAGTAAATTAACACAGTCGCATACTTACCTACCCTGATGCCCACTAAAAAGATCTTTACATCAGAGACACTTCCAAGTATGACAGATGCTTGCATCACCTGCTGTGTTTTGTGGTTCCTCTCACCAACCCCTACTTCACCAATGTTATTAAAGTGATCTCATTTTTTTTTATTTTACCATTTTTGCTCTACAAGCTCCACCTCTGCTTAGACAGAAAGAGCCAGGAGGTGGAGTGAGTTCTGTTTAAGGCCCCCTTCATACCAGGGCGGCTGCGGTTCAGCGCGGTTTCCGTGCAAATTTTAAAAGGTCGGTTTTGGGCGTTTTAAAATTGCGTTTCAGCACTGTAACGCAATTAAAAACGCCCAAAACTGCAATGATCTGCGTGGTTCCATTGAAATCTATATGGAAACCACGCTGATCAGTGCAGAAAAAAAGCCTTACGGAGCATTTCGGGCGGCAGGCGGTTTGTATTGCGCTATCGCATGAACTGTCCCCATAGCAATGTATGGAATTGTTTATGTCAGCGGTTCAGTGCGGCCGGACCGCCCTGGTGTGAACGGGGCCTAAGATGGAGCACAACAGGAGACACAAGATAACCGGTTTGCAAGCACATCAGGAAAATGTTTAGAATTGGATGCTACAGGTCACACTTCTTTAATCTGCTCATTTTCCAATACTTAGAGAATATTGCAAATGAGCAGAGATAACTCGCTCAGAAGCGACATGCATCAGTTGTCTTAATTCTTAGACTTAATTACCAGATGCAACAGGGAAATTATTTAAGGTCTTGATTGGTCAGGAAGCCAGGCTGCCTTGCACTGTCGATAGGCAGCGTGAAGCCGGCCTCCTAGCCAAGCAGGAAGCGGGTCATGAGGTGCCAACCCGCTTTCTTATTGGTCAGGAAGCCAGGCTGCTTCGCACTGTCGCTAGGCAGCGTGAAGCCAGCCTCCTAGCCAAGCAGGAAGCGGATCATGACATGCCATCACGCTTTCTTATTATGCTGCCTCTCAGTGTCTCTAGGCACTGTAAAGCTGGCTTCCTAGCCCATCAGGAAGCCGAGAGCCAGGACATAACCCGGCTTCCTGTTGGAACGAGAGGCCGGCTCCATGCTCCCTCGCAGCAGAGAATTCCCTCTTACCAGCAGTTCCAGTATCGGGGTATCGGAGCATTTGGCCGAGTACTTGCCCAAATGATTGATATCAGTGCATCCCTATTTTGCACCATATGTTTCTATTTAATAGGGTGATTGAGTTCAGCTGGAATCAAATGTGGTTTTCTTTCCTTTTTTCTTTTAATGACACTGGATTTAAAATATGCACACCCTCTGACTATGCCAGTTTGGCCTGTAAACAACAAGCTTGCCTTTATAGTCTTTGTACTGAAAAGCCCGGGCTGACAATAAAATTTTTATCTTTTAAAATATTGCATGAAGCTTCAATTATCAGAAGAATGTAAATGTAGTAACTGGCAAAGGTGAACTGAGATCAACTACTTTGTAGAAAAGATGTGTTTGCAAACTTATAATCTAAAATAATGTTGACTCTATATAAAAAGTAGCAAATCGGACCCATTCATGTATTTATTAAAACAAATGAATTATGTGCTGTTTGTCCTGTCCTGTTTTTTTTTTAACCACTAAACAACAATGAGCTGACTTGAAATTCCAAGGCCAAGAACTGTTTAGTGGATAATCAGTTGGAATAAAGTGTGCACATGCACAATGAAGTTAATGAGAGAAACACAATCTTCACATTTCGATCCCAAGTCTATTAGGATACATCACTGTGAAGATGCTGCGAAAAACCTGGAATCAGCCAAGTTGCCTACTACAAAAAAAACATCTAAAAAGGAAGAAATATTTTGATCAAAATATTTTTAGGTATGCTGTGTGAACACAAAACAAACAGAGGGATTTCTCAAATTTGAGTGCAAAAATGGAAATTTGGTTTAAAAAAAGCTTGTTTTTTTTTTAAAGCCATAAGGTGGTGTCTGAGAAAAATTACAGTGAAAGCAGGTAAAGCTTGGTAACAATTGGCCAGTGACACAAGAGTTTAATTGCATAGTTTGTCTTTATTTTAGCACAGAACTGCACATCCTGAAAGGTTTAAAAGTTGAGTTCTTGTGACTTAACTGACCAGGCTTTGCACTGCATTATGGGTTGTTCCCAAATACTGGTGGTGACTCTGCAATGTTTTGTCAATCCAGTGAAAGTCATTTCTGAGGGCCAGTGACTCAGTCAGATGGCCAAATGGCTCCCTATTTACCCAAAAGAGGTGGAAGGAGTAGATTGCACAGAGTTAACAAGTGCGATTTGCCATAAAGCCAAACCTCATCCACAGTCATCACGTCACTGACTTTTTTTTCAAGCAGGATTTTGATTCCTTGAACCGAATATTTTTTTTCTTACAATACATAATCGCAGAGAACAGATGACCTGGTGTAGGGTTAGGTGGAAATGCACAGTTGGGTAGCAAAGTAATGTTTGGGTCAATCTGACCAAAAAGAGCTTAGTGAAAATCATAAGAAAAGGCAAATACATTTAGTGATTTCAACACACCATACATTGGCTACTGATGGAATAATGGTATAGGAGTCCACTGGGTATTAATACTGAAATACTGTTGATTGGTTATAATCAAGAACATTATGAAGGTCAGACAGTATTTGCCAGTAGAATGGGATCTGATTGTTTTACCACCCAGGAATACAATAAAAAATTTACATTTTTCAGCAAGACCAGGTTTAGCTCATAATGCAGCCATCACTAGACAACCATTCAGTCCGAATGAGACAATGATCTGGCCCACGAGATCACATCCTCAAAACTTTGGGACATAACTGGCAGAACCAAAATATCGAAGAACAGCCCAGATGACAGTCCTGAATAAAGTTAATCATGACGCCTTCTACTCCAGACCTAAAAGAATCAATGTATAGATTAAAGCGGAAGACATACCTCAAGGATGTGATTGAAAAATTGATTCAGATCACTTGAAATTTTTTTTGTTTATTCTGGATACTTCAGATAAGTGGTTTACAAATCAAAACCTTCAAACTCCTTATAGGTTTATACTTTCATCAGTGTATATCCCCAGCATCATACATTTTTTTTAACATTCAATACAGGGTGCCGAGACTTTATTTTAACAAAGCGCAACAGTGGGTATTTATTTCAGAGCATCTCTCTCCAGTTAAAACTCTGCACTGAGCTGTAGAGAGCAGTGAATGGCATTCAGTTGTGTGTACACCCTGAACTTCAGCTTTCACTTTATGTACACAGACTCTTATGTGAAGCAGTTAAAGTTAATCTGGTAACCATGTGAAAAGAAGCCTGGAGCTGCAGCTGCTGGCTAAAATTTGGAATAGTGAAATATTCATATGCAATATTTCAGACCAAAAATATTTTAGACATTTTAGTCCTGAAAATAAAAAAAACACAGATATATAAAAACATACATTCACTTAAAAAAAAAGTAAAATTATGATGCAATGTCAAAAAGGGGAAAAAAGATTTTTTTTAAAAATGGGCTCAGAAGCGATTAAAATCAACAAACATCAACACAAGATAAAAATTCCTTAACTTTTAATTTGATTAGCTGCAAAACGCAATTGATTTCCAAGAGCTCCATAATTACATCTGTGGTTTATTTTGAAAGGAAACAATGGCTGGTGCAAATTAGAAAAGCACATTACTTTGTTTTCCCAACATAGTCAATACAGTTTTTAGTCATTTTTATTTCACTATTCTGAAACAA